CCTGTACGAAAAAAACCCTGCTTTGTCACTTACAACAGGGTTTGCACGTGTAATATAGTTACAGCATACACGTACTCATATTGTATTTAATATCATGTCGAAAATTGACAGATGTTGAAAGATAGCGAGTCCCTGGAATAGTTCGAGCCCCATTCTCTACTGCCTTCAGGCTCAGTAGGCAGGAAAGGCGAGCCCCATTCTCTACTGCCTTCAGGCTCAGTAGGCAGGAAAGGCGAGCCCCATTCTCTACTGCCTTCAGGCTCAGTAGGCAGGAAAGGCGAGCCCCATTCTCTACTGCCTTCAGGCTCAGTAGGCAGGAAAGGCGAGCCCCATTCTCTACTGCCTTCAGGCTCAGTAGGCAGGAAAGGCGAGCCCCATTCTCTACTGCCTTCAGGCTCAGTAGGCAGGAAAGGCGAGCCCCATTCCTGGAAGGCACGAACAAGCCAGAATACAATGGTCAGTGATGACCGGACATGGGATGTTATGTCTTGGCGAAGAGTCCACTGGTCTGATGAAGCCGCTCTGTACTTATTCTGACAGACAGCAGGGTTCGTGTCTGGAGAACAAGAAATACGGCGTATCGTCAGAACCACTCTCTGAACACATCAACATTTACCAATAGGTGGTCGGGGTTCTTTGCCCTAAACTGTGAGCTTCGTTTGCTTGTCTTGATCAAGTAACATATTTTGGGAATTTGTTGATGTTGCTATTGACAAGAGAATTCCTCTTCGAACACGTCCGTTTAAAATGATACAACCCGTCATATTCTGTAAATTTCATTTCCTATCGACTGTCGTTAGTTTCGTTAGAAACCTAAAACCATTCTCATATATCCTGGTGAGTCCTCGCTGAATATGTTTCTTTAATAAAGCGAAGAGTATTAAATTAGGCCCAGTCAAAGATATAGATGGTCTCTAACCTATGACCAAGAATATATTAACATTTGTTTACCTCGAAACCTGTATGATATCAACCGTTTGAACAAGATTGTAAGATTTTATCAACAAACTGCATTAATGATGCTAAGCACGAAATTTCACGATAAGGAAGAAACAAGGCCAAGCCAACATACTCATAGCTAACAGTAAAACTCGGTGAACGAAGGGCAATATATAGACAAAACATTGTTTACACGGAGACCCATGAAAAATGATTGAGAATTAAACCAGTTTTGTGTGGAGAAGTGAACGCCTTCTACTCAACAACGACATCCACCATGTGAATCTTAGTCAGTCCTAGTTATGGTGTCATCTTCTCATGGTAATTATAAAGCCATGCTAGTCCCAGAATACCACGAAACTCTAGGTATTGTTATACTGCATTAACAACAAAACATTGTAAGGATAAAATCGATGTTAACGCCTCGATAACTATCTATAAATTATAACCTAATTACTATAGAAATTCTGTGACGGTTTTATAATTAGGTGTTGTAGTAATCACTTACGATTTTGTGATTTTTGTGGTTTCGGTTGAATGGTTTTTATTTTAATTTCGTAGTTATGTTTCAAACACCATAAACTCACATCAGAAACATACTTGTCAATTATTTTCGGTTCTTTACGTGTATACAATTTAGCTGTTTTGAAACTTGTACAAGAAAACTTAAATATATTATGTACAAAACTATTTCCTAATCATATGATGAACTGATGATTGAAATTATAAATGTATTGGCGTTGACTAAGGGTTAAACATACATGCTTCATTTTATCCTTTTGGCGGGTCAAAAGCGTCTATAGTTAACAAAAATGGCTTAGTTATGCCCCTACCTCTACCTCCCAACTGCTACCGTTCATTTCGGGTTCATCTTTCCTCGTTTAGCTTGTAATGCTCCTTGTCTTGGTATTATTTATTTATGACTGACGTCATTTTGGATGTTTTCGGTGGGTCATCGTATTGCCGAACTCTTGGATGTTGTGCCGAACTCTTGGATGTTGTACCGAACTCTTGGATGTTGTGCCGAACTCTTGGATGTTGTACCGAACTCTAGGATGTTGTGCCGAACTCTTGGATGTTGTGCCGAACTCTAGGATGTTGTGCCGAACTCTTGGATGTTGTGCCGAACTCTTGGATGTTGTGCTGACCTCTTGGATGTTGTTTCAGACTTGTCTCCCTTTTTTTTTTATAGAAAATGTAACTAACAAAACCCCAGGAAGTGGTATCATCAAACAGAAAGATACTTCGTATCATTTTTTCTGAAATGCAATAAAATATTTTTGTTTATTTTGAATTCACATTGTCTCACACGAAACGAATCAATTTACAGCATCAACCAAAAAGTGATTCATATATAAGCACACCACACATATTTAATACTGACACATACACATAAACACTCAAACAGATACATGCTTACTCAAAATCAACACATTCATTGCATTAATATTCAATTATGCACACAAGTAAGCGGCACCTTTAAATCCAAATTTAGAGTTAGATACAGTAGAGCTAAACAATGTATTTAACGGCATCATACAGCTTTTTCGTCCTTCCAGGGCATATCACCTGAACATGTCTCTACCTATTTCAGCTGTTTGTGTATAGCGTTTCTCTGTTTATATTGCGGATGAAACATTGTTTGTAGAAACATCATCTTATATATATATATATATATATTTGCCAGAGTGTAACAAGCAACCTAGATAAAGCTTATCACTTAATGGACTGATCTATGACATGGTGTTTACCTTGTTTACCATGTAAATCGGTAAATAATTGTTTTTCGTTTACACCACTTTCTTTACATTTACTCTCTGTGGTTGGATGAAATTCAAAAAACCAATGTTTATTATTCTTTATTTTTTTCATTCGATCACAAAATTGATATTCTTTAACATCCTCTTTCATTTCCTCTATTCCATCCCCTCTCATGCTGTCCATTGTCGTGACAATTGCGGAATGAGCACCCAATACCTGTGAATCCCTGTAATACTGTATACACACTATGTACCGCCATGAGCATTCCCTCTGACCTGATTTATCCCTTACAACATACATAGATTTCCCCTTTGATGGCAGCAGTACATTTTACTGTTACAGATGATGTCGGCATCTTAACTTATATACATATTTACTGAACAAACGTCAAAATTATACCATATTAGAAATTACCAACGCTGTGGGGACAGTGAATCCCCATCTCTATTCTGCTTTTCTTTAGGTTGATTATCATAACCCTCTTTCTTGATTTCCCCAATGTCAGACCCTTGCATCACAGAGACATGGAAGCTAAACAGCTATAGTAGGCAGTTTTACACATACGTTGGTATATCTCCTTCACTGCACATGTATTGAAAAATTGTACAAAAGACACACCAGTGAATAGAGTGAGACACAGTAGAGTCAAACAATGAATTAAACTGCAGCATACAGCAGTTTCGTTCTTCTATGACTCGTCAGTAATGCTACATCATACAGCTGTTCGTCCTTCTAGGACCTGTCAGTGATGTTACATCATACAGCTGTTTCGTCCTTCTAGGATTCGTCAGTGATGCTACATCATACAGCTGTTTCGTCCTTCTAGGACCTGTCAGTGATGTTACATCATACAACTGTTTCGTCCTTCTAGGATTCGTCAATGATGCTACATCATACAGATGTTTCGTCCTTCTATGACTCGTAAGTGATGTTACATTATACAATCGTTTCGTCCTTCTAGGACTCGTCTGTGATGCTACATCATACAGCTGTTTCGTCCGCCTAGGACTCGTCAGTGATGTTAAGAGCCTAAAATTTGAAACCTAGGAGGCGACTGATGAAAATCCAAAGAGATCAAATAAAAAGTCTAAATCTAGACGAGGAGGGGAGCAGTCCAATAACTAAATAAATTTTGTAATTTTCATACAGCAAGTAATTTTAAAACAGCGTCAAGTACATGTGTATTTTCTGAATCTTGTCACTTTTCGAGTGGATTGACCATGGCAAGCAGGTTACATGACTTGAAGCCCATCTGCAGTGTCTACTACCTGCTATCTTAAAGATTGTACAAAAGTCACACAAGTGAATAACATCTCTTCATCATTTAGAATGAGATGCCATTCACTGATATATCTAATATTCAACCTTATTAGGATGTTCTTTCGGATACTAGTAAATGAAGATATAGCCAAGCCAGTCTGATAACCAGGTCTGTTATCAACATAGAGAAACAAACATTCATGTTGTCTGAGCCTGTAACCTCTACCTGACTGTGGAGAATCACGCTGTCACTTCTTGAGACACAACTATTGACATGTACTCCATATCAAGTGTTAATATCTAGTTTGTATTTCGGAGTTTTCTTGGTCACAGATCTCTTCCTGAAGCGAACCGTACAATATTGGCGTTTGAATATTTGGTCCAGAGTACGATTTCTTGCTGTAAAAATAGATATTTTCTGGGTGCCACGAGTCATGACACGTTGATAGGATTGAGACTGAGTTCTTGTCTGCAATATTTCCTCTTATTGTTTGTTAAAAAACAATAAAATCGCAACATGTTAACAAAATCATAATGTTAACTCAAATTCAAAATTCATTAACTGAGCCGATGTCTCCCGATTTTTCCTGCATTTTTTCATAATATAATGCTAAGATACCAGTGTATTAGACCAGTTGTGGTGGAATGGCTTCCTCCTAATGTTAACAACAGCCTCACTAGCAAACGTTTACTACCAAATTTATCTTTTTTCTTATTTTTTTTCTCATTCGATTTGAATTATAGATTAAAGTAAAGCAGTTTATATTTCACACAGTTTGTCACTAAGGAGTTGCTACTTGGTTATAAGAACATTTCGGTAATCTCATGACTTTGGTACCAAAGAGCAAACACAATGTTCATGACCACATAATAAAGCATAATTTAGAACGCAGTTTGTTTGTTTTTTTTTCTAATGGAGAAGTTTGGGTTACCATGAAGTTGTTTTGCTGTCTTTTATCACAAAGTGATAATCGTTCATTTGCTAGCCTTGGAGAGCTGGAGTTTATGCTATTTAAGTAATAATGTTATACTTTTTTCAGATCCAGTTTACCGGAGCTAGCATGAACACCGCACGTAGTTTCGGACCTGCAGTTGTCATGGGGATATGGGAAAAACACTGGGTATGTTTATATTTATAAAATGTGTGAATAAAAATATCCCATGTTTACACCGGCATACATTACGTTCATCCTCCAAAGTCACACTGACTACACGTTCAATATTTCGAAAAAAGGACAAGATTTCAAGAAAAAATGATCGTGTTTAACTTGCAGACTACTACATGGATAACTCCGAAGACAAGAATCAAGAATAAAGTTTTGATCAAAGTAATCGTTCGCTCATTTTCTCAGAATCTGATAGGGCAGCCATTTTGTATAATATAATAATCAGACGGATAATGTTTCTTATCCTACACAATCAAGATCCAAGAACTGTGCACATCTTACCCTGTACAATGTTTGTTACAATTTCCTTTTTTTTATATTTTGCTACTGGAAATTTGGGAGTATTTTGGTAATGAATGTGGAGATTGGGAAAAAACAGAAAGAAAAATACACAAGTGAATAGATTTTTTCTATACAAATTGAAAATCATATATAACATAGCCAAATGATGAATCGGACTGCATCATACCGATATTTCGTCCCTCTAGGACTCGTCTGTGATGCTGCATCATACCGATATTTCGTCCCTCTAGGACTCGTCTGTGATGCTGCATCATACCGAGATTTCGTCCCTCTAGGACTCGTCTGTGATGCTGCATCATACCGAGATTTCGTCCCTCTAGGACTCGTCTGTGATGCTGCATCCTACCGATATTTCGTTCCTCTAGGACTCGTCTGTGATGCTGCATCATACCGATATTTCGTCCCTCTAGGACTCGTCTGTGATGCTGCATCATACCGAGATTTCGTCCCTCTAGGACTCGTCTGTGATGCTGCATCATACCGATATTTCGTCCTTCTATGACTTTTCTTTGATTTTTAAGTCCAAAAATTGGAATCCATGCACTCATTTTCTTTTCTTTTTGACCAGTGTAATATTTTTGGGAAATCCCTTAAACGGCCCAATGATAGCAGCCACTGTGGATGTCGGAATTGATCGTAACGACACATACTTAATATCAATTTGTATTACTCTATAAATCTGTCACAGTGACGATCACTGTTTCCGCTAGACAATATAACTTGATGATGATAATGAAATAGATAGATGATATAGTCCTAAATTAATTCTTGATTAACCAATAAAAGGTAGAACCAATCGGAACAGATAATTGTTTCATTGATCTAAAGGCAGTAATGTTGATTTATCTGGAGTATCCCTTAGAGATGATCATGAAAGGGTCACCACATGTCCAAGATATACTGTAAAATAATATATATTCGTGGGGATTAATTTTGGAGTATTTTTGTTAAAATCCAATGAAAATAATTTCCACACGAAAATTAATGTGTTGACAGTATACGCAAAATGTCACTAACGCTTTAGTGTTAATGAACAGGTTTCCTTTATTAACTTTCTGTGTAAAAATGCAGTCAACATAGATTTCATTTCAGTACGATACACTCCATATTAACACTAAAAAGTAAAGATTTAGTTTTAATTAGATCGTGGAAATTGATAATTTCGTTTTTTCAATATTTTTTGGCGGATTAAGTTTGAAACAAACGTTGATCTCATGAAACGGGCTATGGTGTAGTGTACTATTATAATTTTCAATGATGTTTATAGTTTTTGTGATTCCCGATAATAGAGACGATGATAGCATTCTTTACAATTAGTTTATAAAACCAGTTAAAAAAGTCATTTTATTTTTATTTTTGCCTTTAAAGTTAGGATTCACATGAGCTGAGGTTGATTCGTTTTAAATAAACTGTTAATCTCCAGTATACCATTCAACACTGTATCACAAGTCTCCAGATACAAACACTGTAGATTGTTTATATTCATAAACATACATTTCGTTTATATATATTTGTTTATAATTGGATAGCTGGGTGAAGAACCGTATGTAATAAAGGGAGATCATTTTTCGCTCACGCAATTCTCTAACCTTTAACCTTTTTGACCTTTGGTACTAGATCGAGGCCGAATCAATATAAGCTTGTCGTCCTGCCCATGTGTCTGTTTACATAATGTAGTTTTTCACGAACCCCTTCACTCACAATCTTTTACAATTTAACCTAGTTCTGTAGTTCTACTAAGATATACCCAGCTGTGGAGGTATGTTAGGTATGGAGGTAGGGGATAGTATCGTTGGTATAATTCCCATTGAATACACTGGCTGTATTACATGGTCACATTTAGTGATAAAAAGTGACAAGAAGATACCGTCATGTTAACGAAATCTCAATTCACGAAACAAAGGCAAATTATGAACAAAAAGAAATATTTACACGAAGAAAAGAAAATAAGACAAGGTGTCCGAGGGGGATAAACACCTCCTGGCATCATTGACGCCTCTCCCTGTAAAGCTTGGTCATTTCGAATAAGTAATGTCACGTTCTAAAACGAGAATTCGTAACACAAGGTTTCAAAAGATGTAGTTTGATGAAAAAAGTAAGTGTAACGGTCGTCCTACAGAATCCTACAGAGAATTATTCTGTTTCTTTGTGCGATATAAAGTTGGACATGTTTGATGTTCGTTAGAACACCTGTTGGTTCCGTTATTGTTGACCTTTTTCCATTTGGGAACATGGCATTATTAACGTTGCTTGGTCATGATTTACTAGGCGAATGTAGGCGATGAAGCTAAAAATGCTTACTCTCCAGGAACATCTTGTGGTATCTTTATATTTTTTATGAGAATCAAGGTAATTTTTTCTTTTGTTCATCTTTTACTCTTATTTTATTGCATTTGAAGTTTGATTATAAGGAACGATACATCACTTCCTTGGATTGGTCAAGATTTACTCGGCGTTTGTCGTCGATGAAGCAGCTCTTACGCTTACTCTTCCAGAACACCTGGTCATAGGTCTCATTGTCAATATTTCTTTTGTTCTTATGTTGCCCTAGTTTTACTGAAATTGAGTTTGGATTATTGTCATGTTGGTATTGTCTTGTTCTATTTAGTAGGAATCGAACTCATCAAGGCCATTACTTCACAAGGAGATATAACATCTTCGAGTGATAACATGATAGCAGACAGTTCCATATAGATTTCATCAACTTGCACCTGTCAGAAGCCTTTGGAGTTAGTTTATCCATCAATTGTAAATAATAGTCACAAGAATTCTTTTACCACCGAATGTTGGGGAAGCATGGGCAGTTACTATCGAGAAATGGAAAATGCACAATAATGCTGTAGAAATCATCTCACTTATCATATACAACTTACTGCAAAATTGTCCCTGTAAACGGCACATATAGAAGAGTGTAAGAGCTTCATTAACTGAAACTGTACTTTGCGATAAAACAATCAGTGATATATGTTTTTGTTGCAGGTCTACTGGTTAGCACCGCCCCTAGGGGCATGTTGTGCCGCCCTCATGTACGACAATTTGTTTTCCATGAACGCGTCGTTAGAGAAAGCACGTGGATTTCTTCTATCAAGTGACTACGATCACGAAGAATTTCCCGCCAAACGCAAAAAGATCAAGGTCATCCATGAAGAAGCAGAAGAGCTCAATGTCGACCTGAACCAGAAACCAACGGAAACAGCTTGAATATTACTATACTTGTGTAACCGAATCACTTTCAGGATTGTTACAGGAATAACGTGTGAGAATTTTGGAACGAGTTGTTAAAGAGAAACGACCATGTGTAGTTTTTTTTTTCATTATTGATAATGGATTGAACAAATGAATGGCAGGTTATCGACCTTTCTAACGGTAAATTCAGGCAGAGTTTTCCCCCTTATCAGAGTTGGTGAATCAATTATCAATTTAGAGATGAATTGTACCTGTAACGGTAATTTGTTATAGAATGCTGTAAGCCAGGGTGAAGATTGTAAATCTTATGTTCAAGTGAAAGAATATTCGTAGGGGAGACAAGGAGTAGAGGGCACCTGCTGAAGGTTTTGGCAATAAGATATTATCTTGTCTCATGGGAATATCATCTCATCCTTCTGTATGACCAAGTAAAATTATGGAGATCGAATTATTGCAGGGAAGATGTGAGTTTTGAGTTATTTGATAAAGATTTAGTATTTGGATAAATTGTAGGTTGATTTGATAAAGATTGGGTATTTGGATAAATTGTAGGTTGATTTGATAAAGATTGGATATTTGGATAAATTGTCGGTTGATTTGATAAAGATTGGGTATTTGGATAAATTGTAGGTTGATTTGATAAAGATTGGGTATTTGGATAAATTGTAGGTTGATTTGATAAAGATTGGGTATTTGGATAAATTGTCGGTTGATTTGATAAAGATTGGGTATTTGGATAAATTGTAGGTTGATTTGATAAGATTGGGTATTTGGATAAATTGTCGGTTGATTTGATAAAGATTTAGTATTTGGATAAATTGTAGGTTGATTTGATAAAGATTTAGTATTTGGATAAATTGTCGGTTGATTTGATAAAGATTTAGTATTTGGATAAATTGTAGGTTGATTTGATAAAGATTGGGTATTTGGATAAATTGTAGGTTGATTTGATAAAGATTGGGTATTTGGATAAATTGTAGGTTGATTTGATAAAGATTGGGTATTTGGATAAATTGTAGGTTGATTTGATAAAGATTGGGTATTTGGATAAATTGTCGGTTGATTTGATAAAGATTGGGTATTTGGATAAATTGTCGGTTGATTTGATAAAGATTGGGTATTTGGATAAATTGTAGGTTGATTTGATAAAGATTGGGTATTTGGATAAATTGTAGGTTGATTTGATAAAGATTGGGTATTTGGATAAATTGTCGGTTGATTTGATAAAGATTGGGTATTTGGATAAATTGTCGGTTGATTTGATAAAGATAGGGTATTTGGATAAAATGTAAATTAATTTGACTCAGATTTAAGAAATGTATTCTTGTTTTAAATGTTCAACACTGCCGCACTGTCACGTGCAATTCTTATTCATATTTTTTCTTTATTCCACAAAAAGCATTTTTTCAGAAAACAAACTGTTTCTCTATCATAATTGTAGTTGTGATCACGTGTTTCCTCTTTGTCTGTTTTAGCAAGAATCTAGTATTTATAATAATTAACACGTGCTTATGATAAGCTTTTAGTATATATGTTTCTATGAAAATAACATGTTTTTAATAAGTAACACGTGTTTATGAAAATATCACGTTTTGATAAGTAACAAATGTTTATGAAAACATGCGTTTTTGATAAGTAACGCGTGTTTATGGAAATGTCACGTTTTGATAAGTAACACATGTGTATGAAAATATCACATGTTTTGTAAGTAACACGTGTTTATGAAAATATCACGTTTTGTAAGTAACACGTGTTTATGAAATATCATGTGTTTCTTATAAGAAACAAGTATATATGAAAATATCTATGTATTTTTGAAAAGTAACACGTGTTTATGAAAACATCGTGTGTTTTTAATAAGTGTTATAGGTGTCAAGTGTTAATATTTAATATGACCTATTTATATGAAACATCCTATATACACAATTAGGGACATGTGTTTATCTAAATGTCACTAAATCATAGAAAGTACCACGTGTTACTTTATCCAATTCGTGTTATAAAGGTAGCAAGTACATGTATCAATTATCGATTCTAGTTTCTGCATGATAATTAGGATTATTACGCGGGCATACTTTCTGCGTGTCTATTAAAACTTCCACATGATTGTAAGATGTACCACGTGTTTGTAATGTATGTCGCCTATTGTAGTATATTACACGTGTAAACATTGTGTAAACATTGTGAAAACATCGTGTAAACATCGTGTATACAGTGTAAACATTGTGTAAACATCGTGTAAACAGTGTGTAAACATCAACATGATAACATTTTACTGAGTTACACTGCCCTTTATTTACAATATACGTTATACAAGGCATACTATCAATTATCAAAAAGAGTTATTTCCCTTTGCTCAAAGATGTGTCAAGTTACAAAATTCAGATATTCTATAATATCAACACACGGTTAATTAGTTTCCATACTTACTCTCAAATTGTCAATCTGACGTTCGTCATCGACAAGAATTTGACGAATAACGCTCTTACATTAGGGAAGTTAATGCTATAAAAACCATTTCCGATACTGAATAATAAATCACTAGTGAAGACGGTTTAGTGATGCCATCAAGTTGATCTAAATATAGATTGTATTGTGTTAATGTGTCAGTGAAATGAAAAAAGCATATGAATTTTGCCTCATTTATGAATATTGTTGTAACACACATCCTATATGCAACTTAGTAATTAATTTTTATCTATAAAACTGAGACTAACGGTTAAAGCTGGAAAACTTTTAAGGAACGAAAAATGATCATTTCATGCACATATGAATGAAATGTAAAATATATCAAATATATGTTCTTTGTACTAGTGTGTGTTATGAATAAAAAAAATATATGATTTTTTTAAAATATAAGATTAACCTTATGTGGAATTTTGTTTTCCCTTGAAATAGTCCTGTTTGAAAGTCCTGTCATTTCTAACTTCTATTTTTTGTGTACTTTTATCTCTTATTTGTGATATGGATGGGATAGAAGGGACATGCCAAATTAAATGGCATCTTATTCGATAAAAACAAATTTTGTGAAACTTACTCACGTGTAACGCTTACTCCAAAGTCATTAAAACGAATGAGAGCATTTCATCTGCTATCTGATTAAAAACCAGAAAGGAAATTCGCCGACAGCTTTTCCGTCGAAAGTCGTCAGTAATCACTACTCATACATTTAAGGTAGTCAATCAACCAGAGTTACTGCCCTTGGTTCACATCTTAACAGACATTTGAATAACATTCCCAGTAATTTCTTTCATTAGAGCATGTTTATATGCTTTAATGAAAAAATACTCATGCTGTAATCGTCATATGATATGAATATTTACTATGTTTACCTGTAACCAATTGTATTTACTGTTACCTGTAAACAATTGTATTTACTGTTACCTGTAAACAATTGTATTTACTGTTACCTGTAAACAATTTTATTTACTGTTACCTGTAAACAATTGTATTTACTGTTACCTGTAAACAATTGTATTTACTGTTACTGGTAAACAATTGTATATACTGTTACCTGTAAACAATTTTATTTACTGTTATCTGTAAACAATTGTATTTACTGTTACCTGTAAACAATTGTATTTACTGTTACTGGTAAACTGTTACCTGTAAACAATTTTATTTACTGTTATCTGTAAACAATTGTATTTACTGTTACCTGTAAACAATTGTATTTACTGTTACTGGTAAACAATTGTATATACTGTTACCTGTAAACAATTTTATTTACTGTTATCTGTAAACAATTGTATTTACTGTTACCTGTAAACAATTGTATTTACTGTTACTGGTAAACAATTGTATATACTGTTACCTGTAAACAATTGTATTTACTGTTACTGGTAAACAATTGTATATACTGTTACCTGTAAACAATTGTATATACTGTTTGTATATACTGTTACTGTAAACAATTGTATTTACTGTTACTGGTAAACAATTGTATATACTGTTACCTGTAAACAATTTTATTTACTGTTACTGGTAAACAATTGTATATACTGTTACCTGTAAACAATTTTATTTACTGTTATCTGTAAACAAAGTCTATTTACATTTACCTGTAAATAACTATATTTGTATTTATGTTGCATGTAATCTTAATAAAGTAATTCTTTCGACATCATATCCTGTCTTATTTTGAAAACAACTATAAAGGTTTTCATTCTTAGATTTTCTTTTTCACTTTCCAGGATTGCATAATTAACCGTCTCATTTTCTTCATGTTCATGTTATACCGGAGCAAGAGGCAACGCCCAAGTAAGCAACTTCGCGCATTGATATACAATTAAGGTAGTGATAAGGCAATGTACTATTGCGCAAGCCTAATCACCACTCCTCTGTATTGATGAAAAATAGATGTGATGTTTGTTTATATTTATCTAGCGAGAGTGCAGATATTTGGAAATATGTAGGATTTGGTATTATATTGTGAGCGGTAGACCAGTGTTTTTGTTATCACTTATAACGTAAGAGTATACGTGTTTAACGTTAAACAGATGGTCAATACTGATCAGACCAATACAATGACGAATTTGTGTACCCAGAATGTATTTGGTGGAAAATGTTATACAGAAAGTAATGAGATAATGACAATATGATTTTAGCGTCAAAAGCGCTGTAATCCAGATAACATGATATGTAAAATTTATAATAAAACCGACATTCTAAGAGTTTACATTTTCATTATCTTATTGTGGACTGAAGTTTGATAGTGTGTGTTTTCTTTAATCAGGCCCCGATTGTTCAAAGGATGGTTAGAGATAATCAGTAGTTAATTAAAACGTTCAAATATGAATAATAAAAAACTTTACTCGTCCTGTCACGGATGTTGATTTGTTGATGCGGTTCAGGTTAATTGATTCTGAGTGAAACTTGAGCGTTTTTAACGCTGTTGAGACCAAGCAAAAATTGTCTAATTCGGATATGGTATTTTGAGAAAATTATCTTCAACTTGTATCAAGTGGAAACATAAAGAAAAAAATCATACAAAACAAATTTTGAATTTATAACGAAGTTATCGATAACCAGAGCCCAAAATAGTTCAAACAGCAACAGAAACACGACTACACTAAAGAGCAGAGGTGAATGAGTACACGCGGCGAATTCAAACTTGACGTGACCGAAATGAAAGTTTACAACATTCCTGAACTAGTAGGCCTAAAGCGTCTACACACATAATATATATACAGAGAAAAACAAACGGGTAAAATCGTTTTGAGTTTAAAACCTGCGTCCGTAACGAGGTAGGGTTATTAGAGTAAGGGTCGGCTGGAAAATACTAATGGTTATGACTGGTTCTAGGGGGGCATTCAGTATTAGGTACCACAAAAGATTAAGCTCTGATTTATCTGGACAGATCATTAAAGTTCTATTGAAATAATAACCCGCTTGAAGCATTCTATTAATGTGATGATGATAAAACGCTATATAAATTCCTGGAACTTTAGAATGGGCGTTTCCCGTCACAATAACACTACATTTTTAAAAAAGGAACGAAATAAACAGATATATTTGCTCCTTGTCATTTTAATTAAGTAATGAATAGACTTTACGTCAACTAGTGAACGAAACGATCAGACGTTTCGTTATCTCCGGACTACGGGACAGAGGCAATCTAGAAGGAGAGTACATCCCTCGGAGTGGGATCAGCTACATGCTTCAAACAGAATGAAAACAAAATATCTTTGAGTGATTTGAATATCAGCCATTTCCTTCAGTGCTCTGTTTATGTTATAGCTGTGTGAAGGTTTAGTATTTATTGAAATGCGGAAATCGCAGCGAATGCATACTATTTTGATCAACCAGAACGAGATGTTTTGTATCCCCCTAAAAATGCTGAACTACAGATTTTAATGCATGTTGTGTAAATCAATGAAATGAATAATGAACAACAGAAAACAAAATATGAACAACAGAAAACAAAACAGAAACAACAGGAACAACAGAAAAAATAATATGAACAACAGAAAACAAAATATGACCAACAGAAAACAAAATATGAACAACAGAAAACAAAACAGGAACAACAGAAAACAAAATATGAACAACAGAAAACAAAAAGAAACAACAGAAAGCAAAATGCGGAAAAGAAACAAGAAAAGTGATAAATGCAAATACTAAAAATCAGTCATAGATTTTGTCATATATCAAATAAAATATATGAGACATTATATTTGTCGTCTCTATTTATAAATGATGACGTCAGTCTGGATGTTAAAGATTACGTTTATGAGGCCAAGAATTTACTAGCGCACTACGCAAGTAAATATTGACTTTGTGCATAACGCGACTGCCAATGTTGTTAGTGCCCAGTCTGTGTTTTATCGTTGACGCTAAGGAGACAGATCTTGTCTTTTATCGTTAAAGCCAGGGAGATTAAGCCAGGGAGACAGATCTCGTCTTTTATCGTTGACGCCAAGGAGATAGATTTCGTCTTTTATCGTTGACGCCAGGGAGATTAAGCCAGGGAGACAGATCTCGTCTTTTATCGTTGACGCCAGGGAGATAGATCTCGTCTTTTATCGTTGACGTTAGGAAGCAAAACTCGTCTTTTATCGTTGACGCCAGGGAGATTAAGCCAGGGAGACAGATTTCGTCTTTTATCGTTGACGCCAGGGAGATAGATCTCGTCTTTTATCGTTGACGTTAGGAAGCAAAATTCGTCTTTTATCGTTGACGCCAGGGAGATTAAGCCAAGGAGACAGATCTCGTCTTCTATCGTTGACGCTAGGGAGACAGATCTCGTCTTTTATCGTTGACGCCCGGGAGATTAAGCCCGGGAGACATATCTCATCTTTTATCGTTGACGCCAGGGAGATAGATCTCATCTTTTATCGTTGACGCTAGGGAGACAGCTCTCGTCTTTTATCGTTGACGCTACGGATACAGATCTCGTCTTTTGTGGTTACGTCTTTTTATTCAAGTAGACATTCCATAAATAATGTCGAGCCTGTTGATCTGAATTTTATTAAAGGTTTAGCTTGTACAACAACCAATAAAAAGTGTTTGAGATAAAAGTATGACATATCCTACTGTCATGCTGATAGTAATGGTATGATAGATGTGTGACAAAGCACACAGATAATATGGGAAAGGCCATGAAGTGCACGGAACAGATAAACTGTGACTGATATTCGAAACATATCTTATAGTGCATATTCTTCGCTGACAACATTAGTATTCAAGGGAGGGCCATATTCGACATCAAGAAAACAATTACATAGGATTTTTCTATATACGACTCCAGAAACCTTTTGCAATAATCAAATTCAAATTTAAGCCCCAGACAATACATATTTCTAATGTATGACTGTACCGTTTTCAATTTCTGCATTTGTGTAGGCGAAAGATAACTACGGAATGTTTGCGGATATTCTCACTGACAGCTGATGGGAGAGAATTTCAGTAGAAGATTAATGGCACTGCCGTAATTGTCAAATTAGCAGAAAGTTTAACATGGAGTCCCAAATCCGAGGTATCTTTTTATATCGCTATATTAGTAAATAAGAGTTTGTAAAAAGTCCCTCACGTGTTATAAGGAAATATTCCTCGGACACTCTGTTGTTTAAGGTAGACATTGTTGTTGATATCTGTCCGTTGTTTTAGGTAGATTTCGTTGTAGATATCTGTCTGTTGTTTTCGGTAAACTTTGTTGTAGATATCTGTCTGTTGTTGTTTCTGTTGAAGATTAATTTTTTATCTAAATTATGGATTGTATAACTGTGAATCTGTATTACAATTAGGAAAGTAATGTATTGTGTATGTGTATTGTTTTGGTGCGGTTGTATAACTGTGAATCTGTATTACAGTTAGGTAAGTAATGTATTGTGTATGTATAATGTCTTGGTGCGGTAGTCAATACCAGCTATTAAAATATCAATATTTGAAATGCAAATAATGTCCTGGTGTCAGCAAGTGCGGTACATCCCGTTTCTGCAAACACTTACCCCGATCAATCACGGCATGACTGAGCAACTGATAACGGACCTAAAAATCCGGGTTTTAACCGGACATTACTGCGTCAGTGACTCCACCCACGTACATGTATAAAATATAATTCATACTTGTAGAAGAAATTTCATTCGTCGAACAAGTGAGCACGTCGTCACTTCTCTCGTAATAGTGGGGACAACACGACACCTAGACTATATTGACTTCGAAAACAGGTGTAATTGACGGAAAAAGTAAGTTGAATTTATAAAAAATATGTTGTTTTCTTTATCTTAATATGAATGTTTCGATGAAATATTTATCATATCAACAACACAAACACATAAACAAAGAAACAAAAGCACGGATTTCCTGAACAATATTGTATAAACAACACACTATATATATTTACGAATCTGTAGATATTTTTAAATAATTTTACACCAACCGTTTAAAAATTATATCATAATTTGAATTATTTACAGAAATAGTAAAACTATGACACGAAGGAAAGCGGAAAACGTGTTCTCTACACCAAAAAGTGGTAATTACCCAGTACAGGGTCTCGGGTTTTACGCTAAAGCAAACCCTGCATACACACCTGACGCTATAGACGATATCGGGTTCGAAAAACCTGGCAATGATGACGCTTCGAGCGGAAGTAGTGCCGGAAGTGGCTGCGATACTAACAGCAGTGGCGTTTACAGCATAAAGGACGAGAAGGAATCTGATAACAAACCAACAACTAAAGACAACAAAGATGAAAAGAAAAAAGACGAAAAAAATAACGTTCAAATGAAAAGATCGTTGAATCTCTTTCACTGTGTAGCCATCATGGTTGCAGTTACTGGACATTCGTCTGTATTTATTTCTCCCTCTAATATTCTCAGCGCCACGGGGTCCGTAGGGGCCTCGTTAATAGTGTGGTTGGTTGGGGGTCTCATCAACATGATGTTGGCTCTTTGTTTCGCTGAATTGGGGACAATGTTACCACACGCTGGTGGTCCCTATGCTTACGTCATGCATACGTTTGGACCCTTGCCAGGATTTCTCATCATGTGGGGCTATGTGGTTCTTGTAGCTGGTCCTTTTTGGGCGTTTCTTGCCTACACAGCAGCACTCTACATTGTGCAGCCAGTTTATCCGGACTGTGATGCGCCGGACGACGGTGTGAAGGTGTTGGCTGGCTGGATCATGAGTAAGTCTTTTAATTAAGATATTTTCGATATTCACTGTTTTTCCTGACTTTGTATGATGAACCTCAACCAATCAAATGTCTCGAATATATCTACCGAGAGTCGATTTTTTGTTCACTTACATGAAAAAAATTCGGATATTTTTTTTATTAAACAAGGAGTAAGAAAATTATCAGAATTTGAATCTTGCAGTTTAACGGTGTTGAAAAAATTGGAGATACACAAATTTGAATCTACAATACATCCTCTGAAAGACGGAATATAACAATTCATTAACCATAAAGAAACATGTATACATTTGTCGCAAAAAAGGTTACGTGCTTACGTCTATATCGTTAAGGACCTTTTCATAAATGAATGATTCCACGCAGAAAAATAGAAATTACAAACAGATACTAATTTCTTAAACCGAAATTATTCTTTTAACTAATAAATGTGGTAATGTATACATTTTATACTTTCTCTGGGAAAACAACTTTTAGTGTTGTAGACATTTGAATACATCTTTCGGAAATTATCATACTTACTTATTTATTGCCAGAAAATGTTGACACGCGTTTAAAGAAAAATAGATCGAAATGCAACAGACAGATCTCGATTTAAGAGAGTGCTGTACTGGCGAAACAACGAAAATAATTAATGTAGAGTTAAAAAAAACAAATAACGCGAAGAAATAATGACAATAAATCGTGATACTGTCTACCAATAAATGCCTTTTAGATACCGAGTTATTCGTTAATTATTACAAAATATGAAGTTATGATATATAAATATCTTGTTTGATGCTACCTCTACTTGTCCGGTATACCAACTTGTTTATTTTTTCGGCAAACTAACAGGTTTATTATGCGATATACATCAATAATTAAAAATCCAAACATTCTGTAAAAAATCATCTGATTTTCATTTAAGAATAAAATTGTATTTTTGTTTATCAAATATGTAAAAAATAACGACAAAATGAGAGTTTACTAAATGTTACATCCAAGATTTAAAAATATTTCATTTTGTGTACTCTTGTTACTGAGTGGAAAATAATATTCCGCTTCTTTATTATATGTTGATGAAAAGATTTCTTACATTGTAAAACACACACATTTGTGAAGATGTATTTTAAATAGAAACAAATATTTTATTTAAAAAAAAATTAAATATGTTATTGAAAATTGAAAAAAAAATGTGTTCATCTTTTTAAATAAAATATCTATTTTGACATATTTAGAGACATAATTAATAATTCAGCAGTAAAAATAAAGTTTCTGTTCCTCAAAACTATATTTTTGAAATTTAAAAGGTACAGTTTTTTTTTTAATCACACCACTTTGTCTGGTTTGTTTCAGTAACGATGGTCATATTGAACTGTGTCTATATGAAGTATGTAGTCAAAATCCAGTCCCTTCTCTCCAGTACCAAGATCATAGCTCTAGCAATCATTGTTGTGGCCGGGATCATACAACTAGTCAAAGGTTGGTATGTCGATCAGCGATAGAAAATACCCTATTTTCGTGATTAAAATGAAGATATTTGAATGAAAGAGAAGTCATTTGTTGTCCACATCATCAACACCGAAGACTCTGTTGTTTTCCTAACTTAACACTTACTGTCAATTATGTTTCATATGTCGCACATGTACAGGACTTTTCAGAAAAATAAGAAAAAAAATATAAAAATAAAAAAATAAGGTTATATAAGCAACGAATTTAAAATCGCTCGTGAAAAGTACTATGTCTGGATTAAAATCAAAACAAAACACGACGCATACTATCAAGAATGGTTGATAAATGAAAATGAAAAAAATATCCCTAACATCCGGATGGTTCGTACAAATAAATATATCTTTTTTAATTAATCCAACTTCAGGTGAAATAAATCCGCAAATAATCTTAATTGCACAGAATCCTTATTTGGTAAAATACTGGAGCTGAGAATCTATTTTCTTACAGGTGAGACAGAGAATTTTCAAAACATGTTTGAGGGAACGTCTTCCGATCCCGGACAGATCGGTCTGGCTGTTCTTTACGCCGCTTTTTCTTATGGTGGATGGTAAGTCTCGGAGAAATACAACTGTTCAGAAGTTTAGATAGAGGTATATAAAAGTGTTTTTTATTTATGAACACAAGGAAAAACGCAAAATAAATCGACCATCTGCTGATCAGGATAAGCGACGATATAAAGAAATCATAACACAGTATTTTAATATTTATCTAATATTTCAATATGTTTTAATATATGAAAACATGGTATAGCCTTTCTTACTGTAAACATTCACAAAACATGTTTGTTTCATTAATTGTATGTAGCACTACAACGTAATTTAATCTATAATTTTTCTATATATAGAAAAAGAAAATCATTTTTACACATCATTGCCTTTAGATTAATTTCATTGGATTAAATAAGTGCTTCATTAAGAATATTACCGATATAAATAAATATCGGGTTAGGATAATCGTCCGACGTAATCTATACATTTTCTATGATAAGCTATGGCGGGGTATAATTTACTCGGGGATGTTAATGATTTATTTAATAACTGTCCTCTTTTTATGGATAATTTACTTACCTTTGTCACGTGGTCTGTTGCCAGGCAGGTGATGACAAGTATGATGGAGGAGGTCAAGAAGCCTGGAAGGTAAATACACAGAACTAAACAGCACATTTAAATACTAATAAATAGCTACCATAGAATACAGCTGTAGATCACAACGGGGACAATCCGTATTCGTTTAATGTTATACAAATATTACATTTACATCAAGTCATTTCACGAGAACATGTTATATGTTCACTATGAGTAGCGGATAATTATACTTTAAGATAAGGATGAAGATTGCTGTACATGCGTGCGTATGTTGGTTTGGTACAAATGTTACTAAAACCTTTTGGTCCCTTTTCAGAGATTTACCTCGGTCTGTCTATATTACCTTTATCATCGTCATCATCAAGTACATCATGACAAATGTAGCATATTTTACCTTGCTCAGCCCTCCGGAAGTCCTCGGGTCTAAGGCAGTAGCTATAGTAAGTTTCACTTTGAATCAATTTGTTGAAATAAGTCGTAATCAAACTATTATTTATCTGTCTCTTACGGAAACGTATTTCGGCCACGTTGTATTTTATTTTAACGAAATTTTGAGTAAGTGAGTCGAAATTTCGAGTTGTTATCTCGAAATTTCGGGTTCGACTTACTAACTCAAAATTCCAGATTACTAACGCTAAATTTCGAGTTGCTATCGCTAAATTTCGAGATAAAATAAAACACAACGTGGCCGGAATACGCTTCCGTAGTAGTCTCTCAACATTATAGTCAATAATCACAAATTACGTGACAAAAAATTATGTATCAATATTGATTAGGTATCTGGGTTTGTTGTTTACATAGGGTTGAACAAATCCAATAATCTTATATTACTGGCACTACTTAGATATCTTTTAACTCGATAGATTTGTGTCACAGTGTTGTATACGCAATATGTTAGAATGCATGATTTGTAATGAAATATTTGTAAAAACTAATGAAGACATCATTATTGAAAAAGAGAGAATGAACGTTGCTAACACAACATTCTAAAATAGCAATTATATAAATTCATTATAAAGTGAAAGAGGAACTGTCATAAAACAAATTACTAAAGAACAAACAAATAGAGGGAGCGTCAGTCAAGGATACAATATCAAAATATATCGGGGATGGAGAGAATGATATAGACTGCTCGAACTCAGTGCTCCCAATGTCAGCTCTTATCACAAGGATTAACCAGGAAGTTCAATAAATATTGACAGTGATATTGTAAATGACGAAATCAAACCCAGTCCACTCAAACTTGTCTCTTCCCACGTGATATAAGTAAGAAGTAAGTAGTGGGCCTTGACAGCTTGGTGCTAATCTTGTTGTTGTAGACATTTATTCAGCGTGTGTATAACCCTCTCAGGATCGTCATATCCGTGTTTGTGGCTACTACATCCATCGGAGCACTGAATGCCTCGATCATGGGTCATTCCAGGTAAGCTTTCACCTGTGTGATAACGAGAATCCATACATGCACAAGCTGGCTTATGTGTGTTACCACACCTGTATGACGAAGCACACGGACTGACCCGTACAACATATCAATGGTACCACGAACTCCTCATGTGTGTATAGCGATAAATTATTTAGCGCCCAAATTTGAAAAAAAAAAAAGATCAGCTTTAAAAATACAACAATATTATGACATGACACGAGAACATTACTTATCCTAAATTTAACGTTTGTATCAACTTTTAGCAAGACATTATTTTAGGTGTAAATGATATTGAATTATGCGGCATGTGAGAAATATCCTATATGTCAATAAAGATAACTTAAAGATAATATAAAATAGGGTAATTTAATCGAGTAATGTAATACATTCAAATCATCAACATAAGTCGAACCTTGTTATCTCGAAGTCATAAAACTCGAAGACCCCGGTTAATTCGAAGTATTTCATCAGTTCCTACCAAATTAAACACAAAACAGTCGAACTTACAATGTGCTTCAATCGAATACCCGGATAACTGATAGTTTTCCCAGCAACTTCAGGATAATGCGGTTCGACTGGAAATGAATTTAGTTTTGGAAACTATCGTGTTTTCATATGGAAATCGTATTGAAATCTTATCATGTTTAGATTTAAAAACCAAATTTAAAAAGATTAAAACATAGACGGTTCTTGATAATCATACAAAGTAGTTCTTATTTGTTTAATAATATCTAAACTGTTTTAATGATTAATTCTATTATAGCTAGATTAGAATGTCATGTTCCTAATCTTAACCGTTATTGGTTGTACACACATGTCAGTTTTATACCTGGTAACAAGGGAATGCGGACATCTGACACCGGATAGATCCGGTTACATTGGTGACATAGAACGATGTCTATTGGTCAATAATAGATCCGGATGTTTGTGCACGTGTCATACATTCTATTGGATGAATGTCCAGCTTCTAATCAAGTTTACAATTCGCTTTATTGACAGAAGAATGAAGATCACCTGAATTTTACAGTTACACAGAAAAAAGTCCAACATAAGCTGTATTAATAGATTATGTTATGTAGGATATGGCACACATTTCTCTCGGATCGTTTGCTATTTACAGTTTGGTTAGATTTCCGTTGACCGGTCAACGATTACCTGCTCAATCATACCGTATTGCTAGTAAATTTCGCGGGTCAAAATTTCAGAGATTTTTTCTTCAAACGATCGAATTATATTTCAACGAATTAAAATTTCGCGACACGTGTGTCTCATTTTAAAGATAAAATTTTCGCGACTGCGGTGATGTACCTCGAAATTAATTAGTTACCTTTCACTCGACACAGACTTATTATAATATATATTCTATATAATGAATGTGAATATTAATGGTGTACTGAATGACAAATATTCAAATAAAGGTACAGCACATCACCATGTCGTTTAATGCATTATGATGATTTTGAAGCACTAAATTTCAGGATTGTGCTTATCGCCTTAATTTCGAACCTTTAAAAACTTAAAAAGTAAAAATCTGTCTTTTAAAAACCTTTTTAAAAATCAGTAATTGCTGTGAGTAATTTTTATTTTTTCAATCATTCATTTCTTTATTGAAATGACTTACAAACACTAGACCTCCGTAATGCTGACCTGGTTTTGAAGTTTCGGTATATATATATGTTTCGATTTGACCTAGGTTGCTGTTCGCTGGGTCCCGTGTGGGACATATGCCAGTGATTTTTGGAATGATCAGCCACAAATACCTAACGCCTTGGCCCTCTATCCTGGTTTTGGTGAGTTTAATATTTTCTGATTAAAAAAAAATGATAATAAAATGTTGTCGCCCGGTTCATTCTTTTCGTTGCGTTTATGTATTTTCATTTCACCTTGGAAACATCTTGCTCAGTAGCAGAAATAAAGAGATATGATAAACAATGACATGAATGAAATAATTTGTACAGTGAATACAATGTTTAACAAACTGACATTCCTGATTATAATACTATATGTTTAATGTTGTGTTATAAATTTGAACCTTGTCATACTTGAATGTTTGTGGCTATACAGATGGTGTGGGGATTGGTGATGCTGTTTTCAGGAGGCGTGGTAGACATGATGGATTTTATTGGTCTCTACTCCACCACTATGGGAATAGCTGTTGTTCTAGCCCTTCTTTACCTCAGGTATACAAAACCGGACGAGCACCGACCATACCAGGTAGGTATCTAACACCAAATGTCATACAGACCATCAATTTATATTATATGTTGTACAATGCTATGTTTCGTTCATCAATTTATATTATATGTTGTTCAATGTTATGCTTTACATAAAAATGTAATGTCCGCATAATCCACAGTGAATAGATTTCATCAAGCATAGATTAAGTTTCCCTCACCTTCAGTCATATATGTTGAAATTAACAAGATATATGTTATAATACAAATTTACCAAAACGTTATACAGTTGTCAATATCGTCAAATTATGAGAAGGATAACTTGGAATGTGACATGTGTAAACATCAAAGTTTCCAGGAAGGTTAAGGGTGTTCTGTCTCACCACACACAATATCATAATCGATACTACGTTCACTATCGCCATCTGCACCCTGGAACATGTCATGGCAAAATTTAAGGCAAAAAACGAAGTAATGTAATTGGTTCCAGGAGAAAAAGCCTGACCAATCACAGGCTGATACGCTTCTTTTGAAGGCCACCTAGAGATTCGTTTGATGACACAATATGTGTAAATCCAAATTCACAAATATATATATATTTAAAAGATTCAAACTTAACCTTTTGCACTTCTGTTGAGATTTTGAACAATGTGGTCTGTTATATGTGTGTAAAATATGTTGTTGGCAGACAATGTTCTTCGTCCCGCTTGTCATGTTGGTCGTCAACATCGCCGTCTTGGTATTGGCTATCTACCAAAAGCCACAGAAGATGGGAATAGGACTGGCAATTCTCTTCTCCGGAATTCCCATTTACTGGTTTGGCGTCCTATGGGAACCAAAACCTAAGTGTTTCCGTGATTTCATTGGTAGGTCACTTCAAATCTCATATAAAAGTTTTGCAAAACAGAACAGAGGGAAATCTATTTTCATGAAAAAGTAAATAATTTTCCACGAAATCACTAATTTCTTGCCTTTGGTTTTATAAAAAGAAAGCATGGGTGGATTCCTTACTTCTAGTAAATAAACTATGATAAGGCTGAGATTGATGTTTTTCTAAATTTTTCATAGTGGCGTTCCTTTACATACGAAATGCTTCTGTCGTTGAAATAAAAACATTTATGTATACAATGTTCTGACGTATGGAATCTAATTTTGTTCAGCTGGATGGACTATAGTAGCCCAAAAGATGTTGATGATAGGAAAGACCTCTACATGATCTCGTCACAAAAATCAGTTCCTAGTATCGATTACATCGGAAGACACTGTCCTGACTTATCCTAAGGGAAATACTCGATCCTAGCAATGAGAAAACCATATCTTGTTTCAACACGGAGGGAAGCTCAAAGTGACTACGTCTTTCAAATAAAAATTCGTATGATTTTTCCATTGAGAAACTTTCACAGTGATCTCGTCATTGAAATAAGCATGCGCACGGAAAAGCTGATTGCAAAACTTTACTATATCTCGTCATTGAGAGAAACGAAGTCATTTAACCATTGAACGTCTGTCAGAATGCATTTATTGTCAATATGAATGCAATCTGGGTGATAGATAAATAGAATGACGTCCGTTAGTGTTGCGATGTTGCTGGAACAGCCATATTGACGACGACAAAAAATAGTGCGTGGAAAAACAACAGTAAAACAATGACAGATTGATAAAACAATAAAGTTTGAAACTTTGTTAGCTGACGAAATGAATATGTTTAACACTTTCAACAATAACTATTTAATATCAGTACTTAAATCCAGAGAATTAAAATTTCACTACGCAGGTGTAAACCATAGGCCTACCGTGCCGGTCCGTTCATTCAGAAAAAAACTCATTCGAGTTAAAAGTGAACGAACAGCCTGAAAATGATGAGCCGGAGAAGAAACTTGGTGTAGCCGTGTTGGTTTGGACATTTACATTAATGTTTTGTCTGAGTGAGTTTAAAGGAAGAGGATTATCGCTTGCAGAAAGGGACTCCGATGAAACACATCGGTAACTGGGGATCGCGAAACTCACGCTGTGTGATCGGTAACTGGAAGTGTCAGGGTAGACAACGATGCACTGAGTGACTTTTTCTGTGTTGTCGAAACTGTGCGGTTATAGGACCGAAGCGAACTTTCAGATTTATGGGAGCTCATGAACATGATGTGTCTAGCCTGAAATCCTTGATCATTCAGGTATTCGATACTATTTGTATTTAGCCTACCACAGATAAAATATTAATGCGCACTCTCTGAATTGCATCTACAATACTGTGAATGCAATCCAGATTAATATAGACATAATGGGTGACCACAGAACAAATTGTAAATATAGCGCTATAAAGGACACCACCACTTTATGACGTCATAGAAAATACCATTACAGTATCATCGTTAACATCATTGAAATCTAGTCACATAGCAAATTTCTATATGATCAAAGAGAAAGAAAGGTATTGATAAAATCCACGTTATCGAAAATGTTTTGTAGTGATTATGAAACAACCTCCATGTGATATGGGCATTATGAAGTCATGCATTTACCCAACAAACATAAGTGTTTTACGTCATTGTGATTCTAAAAATATATACCACGATGCCTTTAAATCAAGCGTTGCTATAACAACGACCAATAATGTGCGAAACACTGTGATAAAATGAACAAAGAGGGGCTGTGATATCCTGTAGACATACGTTATGATAAAGCACAGCTGCTGGCTTACGATAACCTTTATAAAGTAAGTCATGTCTTCTCTGCAACCAAATGGTCAACTGTACTTTTTTCATAATTATATTCTAATATAAACTTTTAGATACAATTTGCTATTCATTTGTATGTCTTTTGGTACAAAATGTAAACGGAATATTGTTGTGTCTACAATGATAATTAGTTATTTGGTGGAGACCTGGTTGCATACCGGCGCCATTGTGACGAAATTTAAAAAAAAAACTTGTCGGCTTGACCATGAACGATTTCTATAAAATGCTCCGATAGATTATTTAGTGATTTTACTTGTGATTGTGAAGTATATACAAGGACTTATGTTCATTTTTCCTGTGTATAATCTATTTTGTTAGTTCACTTTATTAACAATATATAATTTAGGAATCACATATATTAATATTGATCTAATACTTGTTATTGATTTATACATTATTGATCTCCGGTCTTTGTTGTTGGCTCGTCTTTCAGTTTTATTAAATGACATATTTTAAATCCATGAAATTTGCTATCGTGAATTAAAGGATCTGTTGCAGATTTATTCAGAAAAGAAGATGTAAATATATCAACTTGTATTTACTTCACAAGCAACACCATGAAACTACAAGTCAAATAAAAAAACTACTAGAATATTGCCATCACTAAGTATAGTTTTAACGAGTTAATATAAAAGAGAAACTGTTTGTTTGTAATAGTCAGATTCTGTTTAACCAAGAAAATAATTGTTATTAATGTCAATGTTATTGTTAAATATTTTCCTTATTGGTTTTGCTGTATTTATATCATTTTATACAATCGAAATAAACACACGTTTATGTATCCCTGCTTTCTTAGTTCAGATAAAGATGTATCAGCTTCCATTACCAGGTTACAGTAAATGAAGTGGTTGATGTTTTAGTTCAGGAATTTTTTATCCGTGACGGTAATACACACACACATCAACAACACAACTCTGTCTAGAGACTCTGAAACAAACACTGTACAATACAAGTACACGTGTCATGATCGGTTAGAGAAGGGAAATAAATCGTAGTTACATGGAAAATATCATCTTTACAATACTTCATGTTACAAATGTACAATATCTTATAGAAATAATATAGTTAATAAAATATAATATGATAAAGTTATATATAACTTATTTCTTAGATCTACTTCTCTCCAAATCATCTGCAAAGATCGACAATATTGTAAATATAGATATTTAGGCTCTCCCGTTTATATAAAATAAAATGAATATGTAACGTATTCACCTGTACATGGCACGCATCAAATGGTCCTGCTATCCAGTACTCCATTTCAAATATAAACTGTTAAACCAGTAAAGACCTGCCTCACTTTAAAATAAAAAACATGGATTACAGATTATTTAACCATTACACATTTATATTTAAATTGAATAATAATAATAAAAAAAAAAACAACCCAAAGTTACACCTTACAATGGAAATTTATATAAAGAATAGTTTAACTTAGATTGATATAAGGAGTAATCTGTCAATTTAAATGCCAAAACTAATGAAGTTTAAGGCTAATTCCAAATAAGATACATAGTTAGATTAATGAACAAATATTAAAAACTAAAGAGCTAACGTGTGCTGGGTTGTTTTTTAACGTCTGATATAGATCCTAAAAAACAAAAAGCAAAGAAAAAACAAAAACATCAAATGAAAAAAAAAAAAACAAACAAAAATGAAAAAAAATCCTGACAGTGTTCTGTCGGTGTATCTGTAGCTTTAGAATGGGTACATTGGGAGTCAAGCCATGTTTTATACCGTCGTCACGTAGACCTTGAGAGTATACCGTCGTCACTTAGACCTTGAGAGTATACCGTCGTCACTTAGACCTTGAGAGTATACCGTCGTCACGTAGACCTTGAGAGTATACCGTCGTCACTTAGACCTTGAGAGTATACCGTCGTCACGTAGACCTTGAGAGTATACCGTCGTCACTTAGACCTTGAGAGTATACCGTCGTCACTTAGACCTTGAGAGTATACCGTTGTCATGTAGACCTTGAGAGTATACCGTCGTCATGTAGACCTTGAGAGTATACCGTCGTCACGTAGACCTTCGGAGTCAAGCCATGTTTTATACCGTCTTCACGTAGACCTTGAGAGTATACCGTCGTCACGTAGACCTTCGGAGTCAAGCCATGTTTTATACCGTCGTCACGTAGACCTTGAGAGTATACCGTCGTCATGTAGACCTTGAGAGTCAAACCATGTTTTATACCGTCGTCACGTAGACCTTGGGAGTCAAGCCATGTTTTATACCGTCGTCACGTAGACCTTGAGAGTCAAGCCATGTTTTATACCGTCGTCACGTAGACCTTGAGAGTATACCGTCGTCACGTAGACCTTGAGAGTCAAGCCATGTTTTATACCCCCGGCATGTAGACCTTGAGAGTCAAGCATTGTTTTATACAGTCGTCACGTAGACCTTGAGAGTATACCGTCGTCATGTAGACCTTGGAAGTCAAGCCATGTTTTATACCGTCGTCACGTAGACCTTGAGAGTATACCGTCGTCACGTAGATCTTGAGAGTCAAGCCATATTTTATACCGTCGTCACGTAGACCTTAGGAGTATACCGTCGTCACTTAGACCTTGGGAGTATACTGCGTCACGTAGACCTTGGGATTCAAGCCATGTTTTATACCGTCGTCACGTAGACCTTGGGAATATACCGTCGTCACGTAGACCTTGAGAGTCAAGCCATGTTTTATACCGTCGTCACGTAGACCTTGAGAGTATACCGTCGTCACGTAGACCTTGAGAGTCAAGCCATGTTTTATACCGTCGCTGTTTAGATAGCCCACAGACATTTAAGTTGCTGATATTATCTGATAAATGTACTCATTGAAGAAAAATATTACTAAACTGGCATTGTCATATCGCCTTGTTACAACATAGACCTACCAGTATAAGAAGTAATCTGTATAGGGATTTCCTGTACACACAGGACATATCCGTATCATCAAGTGGTCATTAACTTAATGTTTCCTACAACGATGGTGAGAAAGACATTAGTCATGACACCGTTACAAGTTTCTTATTCAAACACTTGTATTGAGTTTCCGGGATACCAATAATAAGTTCAAAGCCTCAACTGCATTTCGAATATCTCTCACTTTATCGTTCCCCACTGGGATCAACCTAGAGAATGTTCCCATAGAAAGTACACAACGATTTAAGTTATTACAGCATATTCTTTGAAAGCCCTAAAGCGCAAAACTGTGAATGTGAATATAGTGTATTTTCCTCTTTTACTTCTCACATAACAAGAAAACATCCCAACCTGACCCTGTATGTTGTGAAGAATATTTTCATTGAATCTAGATCTATGGATATAGATAACATAGAAAATCAAGATGAGCTACATGTACAACAAGGAAATGATTTAAACAGCACAAACAAATTTTAAGACGAGGTATTCATATCTTGTTATGAAAATAGTCTTGCACAAGTGTTCCTTAGACTTCAGGAATTTCTCCATTTTCCTGTATCAACAATTGATAGTG